ATTCAAGGAATTTAGCTGTGTTCTTAACTTAAAAGGAAAGAAAAGGAAAGAAAGAAAGCCTATGCTTTAATTTTTAACAACTATTCAAAATGTCTTTGAACTTTCTAATGATATTAATAGTAATAATATTATAGCATCCCCAAAAGACTCCTATGAAAAGATTTTCAATGACGTTCTAGATTTTGGATTAAGGAATGAGGAACACATCTCTATCATCAAATACCTACAGGACTTTTTCTCGTGCTTTCTCTCCCTGCCTCCCTTCTTTCTTTTTAAGGTGAACAATCCTGAATGATCTTTGGGGCCCTTCCTCAAAAGATCCCAAACTAAAGGTAAGTCTGTCTTAACAATATCTGCCTCGACAGTGCTAAAGATTGATGGAACAAAACTAAACTATGCAAGTCACGGCCTCTCTTATGATATACCGTAATCAGTCTTATTGAAGAACTGTGTGCAAATTACTACACCAGCTTCAGAAATTTAAAAGATGTCAGTGCCTAAACTATGCCAGCAACGATAAAGACCTACGCATTACTGCACCACTCTTGGTCACACGTTGACCTCAAACCCTCTGTTAAAACTGCCCTATAATTTTGGCAACACAAGTTATACATAATTTTTCATATTCACTTATAGCAATTCACTTATAGCAATTTTTTAAAATCACAGTTGAACAGTATAAAACAAAACCCAAAATAAATATCTGTGCAGGAAATTAAATATTATCCACANAATTCATAAGAAAAATTAAGGCTGAAATACAATGGGAAGGAATATCTTAGAACACTTGAGTATATTCATTTCTTCCTACCTTATATTTTCCCATCACACACTTATTGGAGAGGAAAAAAAAAAAAAGAAAGAAAATAGTATGGAAAATTGAAGTATCCCCCAAACAGATTTAGAAACCAAAAGGGGTTACTAGTCAAACATAGCAGCAAAGAAGTTTTAAAATGGAAATAATGAAAAAAAAAAAAAGTTTTATTAAGAATCCTCCAAAGTCAAATGTTTTGAGGGAGCACACAGTGAATAAAACACATATGAAGATTCAATTCCCAGCTCTGCCACTTCCTGTGCAAACCTGGACAAGCTCCTTAACCCCTCTGGGACCCCATTTCTTAATGTGTAAAATAGAACTTCGTAAGATGGTCATAAACATTAAGTGGGAGAATGTAATTAAATGCTAAGTACAATGCTTGCACAGGGATAGCGATCATTTTGGTATCTGCAAGAAAGAAATGTAATTTTTTAGGCCAAATGTTGCCTCTTTCGATGGTGAAAAACCCAACATGTTCATAGTATTGTATCTTAAGCCGATATATTTCCATTTTGGGAGTGTTAAGGTCAAATTCTATCTAAACCAAGAGGGTTGATTAACGACACCTAAATCCATGCCCTCTGATTAAGGAGTTTCTAATAAACCAGAAGACCTGTGGGCCTTTGTACCACAAGCTGTCTCCATCCAGAGTCTGTGCTATGCAACTTCTGCATTTTTCACAAGGCCCTGTGGGGTGTCTACCTCAGCCGTGTGTGTATACACTATTTAATGAAGAAAGCTACCATAGAATATTCCATAGTGCCTGCTTCTCATCAGCTTTGTACCTTTTTTAAAGAATGTCTTCCTATCTTTATTCTGAAAGAACAAATTTAGACATATTAAATTTGGGTTATTTCATACATCAAATTCTTTTACTGAACTAAAAATGACATTTACTCTTTTAGCTTATTCTATAAAAAAGGCAATTTGACAAGTGGGGGTTCATTTCCTTATACATAACCAATGTACCTATCAGAAATCATAAGAAAAAAAAAATTATTTGAAACCTGAATAGCAACTGTTAGTCTGCCTGATTAGATTTCTTTTTAGGATGGAATAAAGAAAGCTGAACTTCAATATCCTAGTCAAGATCCTTCTGTCCAAGAAGCACAATGATTTTTAATTAGTAATTAGGAGATTATTGTCCTACATTATTCAGATCTAATCACATTCTAAGTTGTTTTTATAGCCTTAGATCCTCCAACTTCTTTGAAAATAATATTTTAAAAATATTAGGCTTGCTTAAGAATTCTTTTAACACCATTCCATGACCCTTACTAGCAAATTCTTTCTGTGATCTTAGAAAATAATGAGGCTTTAAAAAGTAGGCAGCATAAAACTAAAAATCTTCCTTTTCATATGAAAACAATAATGCTGTTTTAGAGGTAGAATAAATGCTTACTGTTAACATTCACAAATATTAAATAGGATTACCTCAAAAAACTATTTTTAAAGCAAACACTTAAATATTCAACTGTACCTACGTAAGTAAAATTAAATATATACTTTCTTTACTAACAAAGCTCAATGTTTCTGGAAAATCCTCTGGCTAGAAAAAGATTTGGAACATTATTTGCTTAACTAAAACTACAGTGGAGTGCTTACCAATTTTATTTGAAGACTGCTCTATATGTGGAACTTTTTTTTTTTTTTAAATATTGCAAATGACCTCTTTCACTGTTGGAGATCAAGTCAAAGCCCATGAGCACGGTCAGATTTTAATTTACCTCAATGAGGGAAAACAGATGTAATCAAACTGATCACTCTATCCAAACATATTATTTATTCTTTATGACCACCTACTGCACCCCACAAAATTGGTTTCAAGAACTCCAGCAAGTAGTCCTACACTACTTATAAAATCTAATTTGATGCAATCAAGGCATGACAAAATTGAAAGATTACTAGAGAATGGACTACGTCTTTCTATATATTGTAATGACCTCTTCTTTNATTTACACAGGTCATCATCTTGTTTATCACAACAGCAGGTCTTCACCATTTCTAGCATAGACAAGGGTGACTTAATAATATTTGTAAGGCCTTTCAAAGGAAGCCACGAAGTACTGAAAGAGCTATTCTAAAAGCAAAAAAGACAGGAAACAAGCGTGAAGTCCCTGAGTAAATAAAAATACTGCAAATCCCAATTAGCTCAGTAAAAGTTTGATTCATCTTAATCACAGAAGTTACACAGTCATTACCACATATTCCCCAAAATAATTTCATAAAAGCACAGAACATCAAGAGGTATTCAACGTCCTGGTTTATCCCTCCAAATGTCTTTTTAACAGTTGGTTTGTCCAAATTAGGTTACAAATAAGATCTATACATTGCATGTAAAACTCATTTATTCTTTAAGTTTCCCAACCTTTTGTCATACCATTTATTTTTATATCCTGTCATTTATTGGGTAGGATTTCCTATATTCTGGACTTAACTGCTTGTATCTTCCTAGTGTCACCTAATGTATGTATTCTTTTATCTACTATCTTTTCTATAAGTTGATAGCTGGATCTAGAGGACTGATCAGATTTAGGTCAGGTTTTTTGGTAAGAATCTTTGAATGGTATTGCTAGGTACCTCCTTTTGCAATTAGTAAAGAGGCACATAAGTTCTGTCACTCTTTTTTGTGATGTTCCGGTTGATCACGTTGTCAGCCTGATCTGTTCATTTTCGGGGTCCCCACCAGTCTTTCACTTAACAGTTTCAGCAGCCACTGATGATCACTACCCAGATGGCTTATTTCATCAGATATACAAATTAGTGATCTCCTAATTCTATCATTCCTTCTAAATTAGCTCATCAGAAATCTGGTTACTCTAAATATAGTTTATATTTTCCTTTATTTACAGTTTTTAGAACAAGGGTTTTTTGGGGGTTTTTTTCAGAATAACTTTTCCAAAAGCATCATAAACTCAAGGATTTAAACATATTTAATATGTTTTAATCCACAGCAGTCACTATTATTTCTTATGCTCAAATTTACCCAGCATTGAGCAATGGGAACTCCTTTAAGTTGGCTCCTGTGTCCTTTTGCCATGACTCCAGCTTACTGTGATGCCTTCCCCTGCTTTCAGTTATGATAAGATACTTACCTAGCCTCATCTTGTGCACATTCTGCATCAGAACTAGATTTGGTCATTCCTCCAATCAGCCTGACATTAAGCTTCAGAGAATGGGATTTTTCTCATTTTTTAAGAAGCTCTGTTATGTACAAACCTAAACTTGTAATTGACTTGTAAGTTTTCCATTTTCATTTTCTATCTTCATTGAAGAGTTCAGTATTTATTTACCCAGAAAACCAAACATTCCAAATATTTTCTTCTTTCTACAGGTAACTAATTCCTTTACATCTGCCTTTAAAATTTTTATTTTCCAAATGTATCCTCTCCTTCCTAAATCAATTTTCATATTTCAGTTCTCACTNTGGTTTAGACTGGCAACCTCCTCTTCCTTCTTATTTTGTATATTCAGAAACATATAAATTAACCAAAAATGATACCAGAAATATGGAAATTTTGCCCAGAAAACTTAGGGAAATTCTACTTACCAGTTATTTAAAAATTGCACATTGAATTTGGGAAAGTATAATATCTGCTACTCTACCAGACCAAAAACAAACAGTTCATGGAGAAGATTCAGAATTAGTAAGCTTTTTCCAGTGAAGTTGGTTATTCACTTACTTGTCCATTTATCCATCCATCAAAAATTTGAGAGTGTAAAGATTCTTGCTTTAATGCAGCATACATTGGGGGATAAGGGGATACTTACCTGATCAGGAACTCTGGCTAAGGCTTTGGAACTTAAACTGATGAGAGTAAATCACATTTCAGTAAAGCCACCTCCGATTTGGGCTCATGGTCTTGCTTAGACTATCTGAAACATTCCTCTAGATACTAATACTCTTTTAGGAGAGGCGGAAAGGAAAGGTGAAAAGGCATAGCTCTGGAACTGTACCAGGGCTGCTCTGAGGTTAGTTTAGTTTTATGTGTTTGCACATAAGCTTTCTTTTAAAGAATTCCTGTTGGAAAACCACTGATTTATGCTAATGTAGCAGTAAAACCAACTTTTCTCTCTACCTTTGGATTTCATGAGGATGTTAACAGGAAAACTTTAATATAGAATCAACACAGGTGATAACATGAAACAAATTAATAAACTGACACATTACTGCAAAACATACCTGATTCTGGCCAGAACAGCTTGTAGAAAGTTCAAGACTGTCCTGAGTTCAGATTCTTGACAGGCTCGGAGAAGCATACTAAACCCATCATTAAGCAGTTTTTCATGGGAAGCGTGCAAGCAATGGCTGGTCTCAAACACTTCTTGAACACCATCAATATAGATGGAAAGAAGTGTCCAGAGAGTGTGTCTTTGTCCCATTTCATCGTTCTTAGATACCAAGAACTCCTTTGCTTTCTCCTGGAAATCACCTGAAAATTTCTCAGCCAAAGCACCAATATCCAGGTTTTTCTCAGTATACATCAAAAGGAAGGCCGCCTGACCCTTCCAAATGAGAGGTGATGTTTTAAAGGCAGGCTTGAGGAAATTCAGGAGGTCTAACACATGACTTGCTACATCTTCCACGTCTGCAACAGCTGCCAACAGTAGAAAAAGGTTGAAAAAGTTCTGCAGACCGACTTCAGTTAGTTCTTCCATTCTTTTTTGATGGAATTTAGAATATATTCTGTAAAACATAAAAAA